GTCGTCTTTTTGCGTCTTGATGTAACGCGCCTTGGTGCGTTCGATTGGCGTTAACCTGCCGCTCGTGATTTGTGCCGAGTCACCCCCTTCGTCGCCCGGTAAAACCATCCATGGCATCGAGCTGATAGTTCACGTGCTTCCAATGTGTCCGACCACGCGTCGCCTGAGCGAGCCCGCTGAACAATTGTTCGCCCCGTTCATAGATGCGGCCTGGTCGCCCGAAAACGCTGTGAACTGTTGGGCGGCCTTAACTTTGCTAGCAGGCTTGCCCCCGCCTCCTCCGACCCTCGTGCATCCGGTGGACTTTATGGCGTCGGAGATGTCGGTAACGTGCACCCTAGCGATCGCTCGACGTTGGCGATCTGCCCTCGCGCGTTCTCTCAGACTGTCGAACTGTTCACCGCAATGCAAGTTTCGGTTGACGACCGAAATCGGAAGAGCATCCAGCTTGCAACTCCCCCGCAACGCCGTGAATGCCTTATCATCGTCCATCAGCATCATCATAATGATCAACCGTCGTGGTATCACGCGTGGCGCTACTCTCGATGAGCCGTCTCATTCTTTCGCGTTTGGCTTGGAGGGCGGCGCCGTGGCCGCCCATCTTAAAACCCCGTTTCCCGTGACCTGCATTACATCATTTTGCGTGCCTGTGCGCGCCCAGGTTGTAGCAGTCTTCGCGTGCTTCAGGCGCGGGTGCATTGCGACCCGGGCCGATGTTACTGGGGCCCACGGGGGTCGCCCCGGCGGCCGCCGATGCCATCTCTGCGCGGGAACACGCGGGGCGATCCACGGGCCCCACTTCCACGAACATCTGGCAGGAACATTTTTTCGCGAAAATGCATAGTGACACTGGAACCAAACAGTTGCGGCCCGAAGCAAACGTGCAACGCTGGCGCTCCCAGGCCGCGTTGCTCGCCCATTCGCATGGCCATGTTCTAACGCTTCCCCCCCTCTTCCTCCTCCTCTTCCTGCTCCTCCTCCTCGTCCTTCTCCTCAATCCCTTGACCTCCTTCTCCTCCGCCCCCTCCTCCACCCCTTCCTCCTCCTTTTCCTCCTCCTCCACGTCCTCTTCCTCCTCCTCCTCCTCCTCCTCCTCGGCCCCCCCCTCCTCCCCTATGTCCTTTCCGTCGAGCCCAATCCTGGTTGTCTTTCGCCCCCCCCCCCCCCGCCGCCTGCGCCGCGGCCTGAGGCGGGCGCGAATGGTCAACGCCCCTCGACTCAAGAGGGGCGGTCAAACGAGTCCAACACCCCCGCCCCCACCCCACCCCTGGCCCTCGAATCGCCCCCCCTGCGCCCCCGCGGGCTGATCTTTACTGTTGGCTGGGAACTGCCGAGATACAACAATGGGGCATGGTTGGCCCAGCTCGCGAGCTCGGAAGCGACGCCGCCCCCCCTGGCGGCCCGACCAACGATCCCAGCGGACAGTCGTCGGCCAGGCCGTCGGGGACGGGGGCGGCGGCGGCGCCGTCGTGCCCGACGTCCATCTTGCCATTGCTTTGCCGCTCTGGGTTTTCCCACTCTTGTCAATCTGGCTCAGCGCGCGCTTTCTTCCTCGGTCAGTCAAGGGGCGCGCGGTCGAGCCAGGCGGGCGAAAAGCGGCGCCCCCTGGGAAGCACATGCCCCGCAAATCCATGAACCTGCGAGATTGCAAGCCCTTTGGGGGACATGCATCTGAAAGGGGCGCTTCTCGCGCCCCGGCCTGATAAATGTCAATCGCGCCGCTCTGCCTCTGCGCGCTATGTCCCAGGCAGGCTACGCGCTTCAAGACTTGACCCTTCTTCTCCAAAGCATCGGGGGTCGCGCTGGTCGCCGAGGCCCGAACTTCGGCCTGGGCCTCGGCATTTACTTTGGCCCTGGCAGCCAAATCGCTTTCTAGGCTTGCCCCGTAAAACTATTAGCTTGCCAAGCCACCCAGAGGCCGATGCAGAGTCTGTTTCAGGCCGGCTCATCCGCTTCCCTATATTGAAAAACGAACGAGAGATAGAAGGGGGGGGCGCCTCCTGCGCCCTCAGCTTCCCGGGGGCATCCGCCTCGCGGTTGGCGCGCCAATGCTCTGGGGGCATAAATTGCGCCTGCAACAACTGTCGCATCTCCTGCGGTGTTTTTGCACAGCTCTGGCTACTACTACAAGCTCGGCTCTGGGGACTGTTTGCCTCGAGCCCGCAGCGCTTCCTCGCGGAGATGCAGCGACCTTCTGATCGACGCAGAAATCGAACGAACATCCCACTCTCCTTAGTCGGGCGCCCCATCGAATGCTCGCAGCTTGAGCCCGCCGGGTCCTATGACTTGGCCCGGGGGGGGGGGGGCCCGCCTGCGTCGGGCCATGCTCCTTCAAACTTGGCATCTTCCTTGGGGAAAGGAAGATCCACGTGGGCCGCGGCCGGCCTGGGAGGTCGAGGCCAGTTCGCCTGGCCAGAAGCACGGGTGCGACAGCGTGCCTATCTTAGCTTGCTCGCACAAATCAGAATCACCCCGTAGGTCAGCGGCGGTGGCGTTGCAAAGGTATTCCAGAAACAGCTGAAACAACGATTCCGCGGACGGATCACACCGGGAACATCTAGGGTTGCCGAGCGTCGCATTCTCTTGTCTACGCCTGGCGGGCCACGAGGCCCCTGGACTAAGAATTTCCAGGGCAGCTGCTGAGCATAATGTCCAGAATATCCGGGACAGCTTCCAGCGCGAGCTGTTGAGATGGGCCCAAGTCACAACGAGGCCAACGCCAAACTCAAACCCTGATCCCTCGAAGTGCTTTCTGGATTGGGCGCGTGAGCCGTGCCCCCAGGAGAACCTACCTCGAATCTTATGAGATCTGGATCTTCAGTGATCTTCAGGGCCTTCAATATGGATTATTATCCACATGGTGCGGTTCATTCTCCTGGCGAGTCTGGAATCCAATTCGCACAGAATTGAACGGCCTGTTCTTCTGCTAAGTGCCCCCGGACGCGTTGCCGGCGGTTCTCCGCCGCCTGCAGCTTCTGCAAAAAGTCCTGCGGGGCGACGTTGATCGCCCCGCGCCAGGGTGGTATCCGAGTGTCCCTGCCAAGTTTCGGGGGCTCCAAAGGTCCCCAAACAAGTAGATCACTGAATTTGCCCTAACTGATCCCGATGGCGACGACGGCACAAGCGCCCGCCCACTTACTTCCACAAGTCGATAGAACGTGGGCCGCAATCAATTTCAGGGTAGCGGGCGCAAGGCCCACGGCAGAAGCACCCGAGGGCACCTGAGGGTCGAGCCCTGTCACATCAAGCTTCTCGGCATTATTTGGCAAACCTACCTTAACAACGAATGGCTCTCTTGGAGCCTTTTCCACTTGTCTCTCTCAGTCGCCCCTTGGGCCCCAACGCCGCCGCTGAAGCTCATGCCCGAATCCTTTTTTTTGTTAAAAAAAAATATTCACTTCCACAGGAAGGGTCAACTCCGCAATATTTTGTCGAAGGTCTGCCCGCAGTCGCGGTGGGCTGACGGGGGCAACTGGTTTCATTGAAATCTTCAATTCCTTGGCCTGCAAATCGTTTACCAAGGAGACAGCTACCTCCGCGGCCTGCCCCCGCTGTGGATCCCAATATTCAACTGCGCCAAATAATTCACCCAATATGATTTTTAAGGGGCGAGCGTCGTCGGTGTACGCCGTCTACCGTGTCCCGCAAGTGCGTCCGCGACCCAGCCGCGCTCTGCCTGCATCCCGCACTGATGGGGTCGCGCGCCTGCGCGGCGCCTCATAACCCAACCAACTGCAAAGCGTCGACCCGCGGGATACTGAAGCAGTGCACGGAAAAACGGGGCCACAATATACTGCAACGACTGGACCAATGCTGGCAAAGCCCCTGGCTGGGCAAGGTCGCGACACTTTCGGGCGCCCCATCGATACTGTGGCCGTAGATTCGCTGGCGGGGGCGCGCAACCCCGACGCCAAAAGGTTTTGCCCTGACCCAAGCCACTACGGGCTCGAACGAACATGGCTAGGGAGCTCTTTCTCCTCCTCCTGCTCTCCTGCTCTCCTGCTGCTTGTCCTCCTCCTCCATTCCTTCTCCTTTATGAGCAACTTCTCCTCGTCGCACCCCGGGCCCAATGTTTACGGCGGGCCGGGCGTTTCGCCTGATACTTCCTCACCACTTGTGACCCTGAACTTAAAGCATGGCACTGTTTCACAGATGGAGAGCGGGTCGTTTTCAACATGTGGATCTCGCAGTAACGCCGCGTGCATTCGTCTTCAAACTTTGCGAATGTTTCACGGGTTGATGGCGGGTCGTTTTCAGAATGTGGCTCTCGCTTTAGCGCCGCGTGCACTCGTTTCAGAACATGTGCAAAAGCTTCGTGGATTAAGGGTGGGTCGTTTTCAAACTGTGGCTCTCGCCATAGCGGCGCGTGGTTTCGATCTCAACATGTGCTAAACCCTCACAGGTTGAGGGCGGCCCCTTTTAATTCAAAATGTGGCTCCCACTTTAGCGCCGCGCACATTGTTCTTAACATGCGCACGGGACCCACAGATCTCCATGGTCCATGTACCAGAAATTTTGTGTTGAAGCGATTCAGGATTATGAGGGCGGAGCAATTACGTCGATTCGTGGCGTTGAAGTCCCATGGATGGCGTTCTTGCGCGGTTCAGGCTCGTCAAGACGCAATAATCAAGTTGATCCGTGGGGTCGACATCCCGAGAACAATGTTTTGGCATGCGTCGGGGTCTTCAAACGGTTGTCTTCCAACGAAGCAGTTCCCTCAATGGAAATGATCCGCTGTCGGGGCCCATTAAGAGGGAGCTTGGAGGGAGGGTTTATTCCAACATCGTTGGTGACTCTTGGGTTTGCACAGGTCCTCCTCCCTGTCCTCCTCGCCCTACTCCTCCTTCACTCCTCCTCCTTGTCCTCCTCCTCCTCCTCCTCCTCGTCCTCCTCCTTCCCCCTCCTCTTCGATCTCTCTCCCCCCCTCGAGATGGCGACGGCCTGGGAACCGCGCGGTCGGGGGCGCTCCCGCTCTGCCGACGGGCGCAGCGGAAGGTCGCCCGTCCACCCGCATCCGCAGATCCGAGGCGCCGGGGTCGTCCTCGGGCAGCTTGGGCAGCACCTCGAGGAGGCCCTGCAGGCCTGGCGAACCCAGCGCCCGGGGGTTTCAGGCCCGCTCCCGCCCTCTCCTCCCTGCTCCTCCTCGCCTCCCTCCCCTCCATCCTTCTCCCCTCCCCTCCCTCCTCCTTCCTGCTGCTCCCCCACTCCCTAGCTCCTCCTCCCTGCTCCTCCTCCCTGCCTCCTCCTCCCTGCCTCCTCCTCCCTGCCTCCTCCTCCTCCTACCTGCCTCCTCCTCCTCCTTCTCCTCTTCTTCTTCTTATGATTATGTTTCGTCTTCTTCTTATTATTATTCTTCTTATTAGTATTATTATTCTTCTTCTGATTATTATTCCCATTATTATTATTATTCTTCTACTTCTTAGTATTCGTATTATTGTTACGATTCGTATTCTTCTTAGTAGTATGATTCTTATTATTAGTAGTATTATTATTCGTATTATTATTTGTTCTGATTAATATTATTATTATTCCTCCTCCTCCTCCTCCTCCTCCCCCTCCTCCTCCTCCTCCTCTTCCTCCTCCTCCTCCTCCTCCTTCTCCTCCTCCGCCTCTTTCTTCTCCTCCTTTTTTTTTCTCCTTTTTCTCCCCTTTTTTTCTCCTCCTTTTTCTCCTCCTCCTCCTCCTCCACCTCTTCCTCCTCCTCCTCCTCCTCCTCCTCCTCCTCCTCCCACCCCTGTCAACGGCCGAGGATTCCACCCCGCAGCCTCCTCCCCGTTGAATGGCACCGCCAAGGGAGGGATGATGGGGACTGGCTCACGGAGGGAACGTTGACCTTGATTGGCGTCGCGCAGAAGGGGGGGGAAGGGGGAGGGGGGAAGGTTTCTTAGAAAGGGGCTGCGTATTAGAAGGCGCTGGCCTTACATGTCTAGAGAAGGCCCGCGCCTTCTAAGAAGCAGGGGTGCTTCTAAGACGCCCTCCCCCCTCCCCCTACCCCTCTCTGCGCGTGGCCGACTTGAATCGGCGAGACATCGCCGAGAGATCGGTAACAGGCCCCGATGGCAGAACCCCACGCTCCTGGGCGGGGTGGCCAATGGGGCCCCGATCGGGGATTTATGGACGACTGGGGGCCGATGCATCACCCATTGAGCCAATCTCCCGCCAGCGTGGCCCCTGACGGGTTCGTGAGACCTTGGCGATACGACGACACGGCTCGGACTGCTTGGATTCGTTCAGTGCTGTTGCGGAGAAGACGGAGGACGAGGCGAGAAGGAGACACATCGCACACGCCAGACTGTTTGGAAATTGCCTCAGGCGCTGCGTGCACTCAAGGCCTCCTACACGTCATCGGAAGAATCGGACCTGCTTGCTGGAGTTTCGCCAGGCGGGCGCACGCGAGCGCCCCGCGACTGGTGGCCGGTTGCTGCATCTTCGCCCGGTGGGCGCCTCGTGGGCGCCCCCGTGCATGGTGGCTGGTCATCGGGACCTCGCCGGGAGGGCCCGTGGGCGCCTCGAGGGCGCCTGCTCGGCGCCCCGTGCGTGGTGGCTGGACTCGACGTTCTCGCCTGCTGGGGCGCCCATGGGCGCCTCCCTGGCGCCCACCTACCCTGGACAACGTGGGCGGGTCCCCCCCGACGGGGGTCACTCTCGCCTCGTCGTCGCGCCGCCACAAGGGTCGGAGCGCCTTCGGCGCGCGGTCGCTGCCCGCGACGGGGGTCGATGCGGGGCTGCCGGCGGGGGCGACGCGCCCCCGACACAGAGTAAGACACCTGGAGTAGCTTGCACCACATAGCTTGCACCACGCTGGTTCCCTCTTCGAAGCACGAACTGACGAACTGACTTTATCACCCTCCCGACCTCGGACCTCGCTCTGGGCGTAGGTGGTTTAGGGAGTTTCCTCGTCCACCCCTCCCTCTTCCCCGTCGGAGAGGGGTTTACCACTGTTCCCTATTAATAAACACCCCCTCCCCCACCCGGTCGGCAGCCAACCCGGAACCATGAGCACAACATGAGGGCGCCCCTCCCCGACCATCCCTGTCAAAAAACATTACAAAACGCACTCTGCATCCAAATTCGGAGCATGCGCAACCAACCCGATGCAGGCCCCCCCACCAGTCAAAAAAAACAATACACAGTACACTTTGGGGCAAAGTCTGGGGTTATCTTCGTGAGGCCCGCGGGCACTTTGTATTGTTGTTCGACAGGAACGGCGGGGGTGTCAGCATATTGCCTGCTGCGCGCAAGGCTACCATCCCTGATAAACACACAATGCAAAATGCACCTCGCGGCAAAATGTGGATAGTGCGCGGCCGCCCCGCGATCATTGTCAAGTGGATTATGTCAGGGACGGCGGGGGTGGTGGCGCATGGCCTGTTGTGCGCAGGCCCACCAAATATAATGATGGGCATTGGTTTTCGACCGGGGTGGTGGGGGCCGCATGTTTCCCGACGTGTGCTGTCACATGCGCAGGCGCACCTGACGCATTCTGCACGTGCCATGGACGCGGTGCACCTGGCGCGGCTGTAGGGAGCATCTGGTGCACGTGGCGCACCTCACCTCAGTGTCGCGCACATGGGCTCGGTTTCGGTTCCCAGTAGCTGCCCATGAAAAGACGACCGCAGAACATGCTGAGGCCCGGGTGTTACTCATGTGTTGGGAGAGCGGGTGGGGGTGAGCTAGACGGCTTGCTATCTGGAGGGTGTCTTGATCACTGTTCCCTGTTAATAAACACCCCCTCCCCCAGGCGACTGGGGGCCAACCCGAGTCCATGACGACCCCCCCACCATCCCTGGCACAAAACAATACAACATACACTCTGCCTCCAAATTCGGAACATGCGCAGCCAACCCGATGCGGGCCCCCCCACCATCCCTGCCAAAAAACAATACATCATACACTTGGCGGCGGCGGCGGCTGCGGCGGCGGCGGCGGCGGCGGTAGCGGTGGCGGCAGCAGCTGCGGCGGCGGTTTGGCAGCGGGAAGCGGCGGCAGCGGCGGCGGCGGCGGCGGCGTCGGCGGGGGCGGGCGGCGGCGGCGGCAGCGGCGGCGGAGGCGGCGACGGCGGCGGATTGGCCCCCAGTAGCTGCCCATCCAAAGACGACTGCTGAATATGATGGGGCTCGGGCCAGATTCGGGTGCTACGTATGTGTTGGGAGGGCGGGTGGGAGTGAGCGAGACGGCTTGCGGGCGGGAGGGGGTCTTGATCCTTCCCCCTACCCCCCCCTGGACCTGGACGGGGCTGGTCGCGGGTAGTTTGAGCGCGCCTCTTGGGGGGGGGGGGGGGGGCATCGCCTAAAACAGGCTCCCCTTCTGCTTTAATCCATCTCCTCCAAGATGGCCCCAGGAGGCGCCCAGGAGGCCCCAAGAGGTCCCAAGATGCCCCAAGATGGCCCCAAGAGGCCCCCAGGAGGCCCCTAGGAGACCCCCAAGAGGACCCCAAGCGGCCCCAAGAGGCCCCTCCGAAACACCCAAGACGCCCAAGAGCCCCCCAAGACCGCAACGAGACCCCCAAAAAGTCCCGAGAGGCCACCAAGAAGCGCCCAAGAGATACCCCAAGAGGCTCCGAGAGGCATCCAAGAGACCTCTGGCCCTGTTGCTTGCCCTCCTCCTCCTGCTCCTCTTTCCTCCTCCTACTCCTCTTTCTCCTTGTCCTCATCCTCCTCCTCTTCCTCCTCGTCCTCATCCTATGTATCCCCCGTCTCCCCACTCCCTCATCCATACATCCAGCCTCCTCCTTCTCCTCCTCCTTCGCACGGTTCGGTCGTCCCCTGCACGCCAGGAGCGCATGGTCAAGCTGGCGGGGGTACGCGAAGCGCCTAGAATTTACAAATAGACTGGCCCCACTGTTCATTTACATCCGAAACCTTACCATCCCAGCCAGGTCGGTATTGACCACCCTTCACCCCTGCCAAGAGATACCATGCGCGCGCTCTTGCTCCTTTCAAACAATAATGTTCCTTGGCCCCGTACAGAAATACCACGACGTCCACACGCGGGCGCGCCTGTCCACATCAGATCAAGCCTGCCCAACTCAAGGTACACACCATAGATTGCAGATGCCCTGCCCGCGCACATTTGATGCGATCGCGTGGGGAACCATCCGGATTTCGCAATATCGTCCAAAACGTGCATTCTCATCTCACCACGCGGTGCATCCGCGTTGATCTAGCACACGCCCAGTACACGAATCCGTGCCGAATCAAGCAACGCGGGACACATGCCCGCGCCACCACGCGCGCGTGTCGAAACCAGCACAGAACCAAATGGGGTTGAGCCATGCCAACATGTGTTTTTCAAGAACATGTCTGCCATAGTCATTGCCTCCCTGCGCGCGCGCACTTCCTCATCACCCTCACCAACGCCATCGCATCACCGCCTTTATTGTCGTCGCTGATCGTCGCCATTGGCGCCACAAACATCATCACAATCACCTGCATCACCGGCACATGGAGGAGAAGGAGGAAGAGGAGGACGAGGGGGAGGTGGAGGAGGAGGAGGAGCAGGAGGGGGAGGAACAGGGGGAGGAGGAGCAGGAGGAAGAGGAGGAGGGGAGGAGGAGGAGGAGCAGGAGGAGGAGCAGGAGGAGGAGGAGGAGGAGGAAGACATCATCACGGTCATCCTCGTCACCTTCCCCCAGAGCCCCGACTCTGTCAGAAATAACCATTCTGATCATCGTTGCTGCCGTTGTCGACGTCATCATGGTATCGCGCAAGCTCGGGCCCCCGACCCACATTGGAGCGCCCGCGTGCCATCGCGCCCTGTGGGGCGCGCTATGAAGATCCCACCGGTAAGCGCCATCGCCGGCATCGGGGACGCATCGCGTGTACCAAGCCAGCTGGCCACACTGCACGCGAGCGCGCGCGCTCGCGCCAGCGCGGCCGCAGAGACGCGCTAGCAAGTTCCAATCGGGACCAGCAAGCGTGGCCGAATGGGTTTTGCCAACAAGTTGCGGGTGGGCAGGTGGGATGTTTGCACGAGCAGTGTGTTTGACGACTTCAAGGCGGCAGTCGCATGCACCACATAGATTCCTATGTCTATGAATATTACAGGGCTGGGGTTAGCGATCCCCCGCGGGGTACTGTATTTCCTGAATACTCTGCACGGTCGTCCACCTAAATATCAATTAATAGCATGCCAGCCAAGTCGATACCAACCTCCCCCCACCGCCTTCTCCTGCAACAAAAATAATGGGATGCACCTGCGTTGATCGAATACGTGTTTTTCGCGTCAGAATCCGTTGGGACAGGTGCGTTACGGGGAATATGCAGCCGCGCGCGCACGTCAACATTCTTCAACAACACATGGTGTTTCAAACACCTATGTTCGTTCATCCACTTTTAAACATTGATGATCCGAAACGATCAAATCAAAACAACCATCTATTTGTTCAATTGCTAATGCCAGACAAGATGTGCGCGCAAAGCTTGTCCAACACTTACGCCATGCGGCTATGACAATGTAATGAACGCGACCCGGACTACGGAAAACATCGTTCTGCTGCAAGACGAATTTGGACGTCGACGCGATTGACACAACCGGTGACTACTCAGACAGCGTAATCGCCGAAGAATTTGAACTTGGAACTGGTAAACATTCGTTCCAGTGTGTACAGATGGACGGCTGATGCTCACATGTGCAGCGCTTGGCACGACGGCTGGAGGCGGAGTCTGGGGGCAGGCCTGGGCATCGGGCGCTGGCTCTAGTGCAAGAGATGAGCGTTCACAATGGTGCGCGGTGATCTTTCTAGGCCCTGCCTCAGGGTCTCGCAGGAGGCTCGGGGTTGCCCTCGTGTTGTCAGGTGTGCTCAGCTCATAGAGCATGCAATCTCCTTATCGGGCCTCCTGCTCCTCCTCCTCCTGCTCCTCCTGCTCCTCCTGCTCCTCCTCTTCTTCCTCCTCCTCCTCCTCCTTTTCCTTCTTAGAGTCAAATGCAAGACGACCCCTGCAGTCGGACCTCAACCACGAGAACATCTGAAAAGGCGCCAGGCTCTTCCAGGAATCGAGAAACGCAAACGGGGGAGAAAACGAGCGCAGAGAACACAACGAAAAGCCGAGCGGACAGAAAAGGCACTCTCGAAACCGCAAAAGGTCGCCTCTGGTTTCAAGTCGGGAGTCGGCGGCACGGGTCAGGGGCGCTACTGCAGGCAGCCCGCCCAGCTCCACTGGCAGCCCCCCGAGCCGTACCGAGGAAGAGCGATGGCAGGGCCGGCACTCTCTTTTGCCGGCGCGCTCACGCTCCACTCTTGCTCGCAGTTCGCCGCGCAAGCTCGACCGTGTTGCGCAACAACATGGTCACCGTCATCGGCCCGACGCCTCCAGGGACCGGGGTGATCTGCGACGCCTTCACGCTGGCGCTCGCGAAATCCACGTCCCCGACCAGCCTGTAGCCTCGCTTTGCGGACGAGTCTTCCACTCGGTTGATGCCCACGTCTATGACAACGCAGCCGTCCTTGAGCCACTCGCCCTTCACGAAGCCCGCGCGCCCGATGGCGGCGACGACAACGTCGGCCCGAGCGCATTTGGCTGGCACGTCCAGCGAGCGGCTGTGGCACACCGTTACCGTCGCGTCAGCGCGCAACAGCAGCATCGCCATCGGCACTCCCACGATGCGCGAGCGGCCGAGCACCAGGCACTCCTTGCCGGCCAAGCTCACGCCGCTGCGCCGCAGCAGCTCCATGCAGCCCGCCGGCGTGCACGGCACGGCGGTGGCGCAGCCGTCGGGCTGCGCCAGGCAGCCGAGGTTGTGGGCCGACAGGCCGTCCACGTCCTTCTCAATGCTGATGGCGTCCAGGATCCTACGCTCGTCCAGGCCAGCGGGCAGAGGCAGCTGGACGAGGACGCCGTGGACCTGGTCGTCGGCGTTCAGAGCAGCGATGCGGCCCAGCAGCTCCTCCTCCTCGACGCCCTCGGGGAACGTGTAGTCGAAAATCTGGATGCCGACCTTCTCGGCGGCTCTGGACTTCATTCTGACATACACCGCGGAGTCGGGACGCGCGCCGACGAGAAGCACGGCGAGGCCCGGGGTCACGCCGTGCAGCTCGCGAAGGGCACGCACCTCCTCCGTCAGCTCCTGCTGAATCTTGGCAGCGACTGCTTTGCCATCGATGATCTCTGCTCGGAGGAAGGAAAAACGGCACACACGCAAACCTTCGGAGCTCCGCGTGGACTTCCCGGATCTGCGCTGGGTCCCCCCTGGCGGCGCCTTCGGCGCTGCTCCTGGCGCGCTCTGCGCGCCAGGCAGGGGGGCCTAGCGCCGATCCAAGAAGCCTGCGCGGAGCTCCGAAGATCAACATACATGGCGGAAGCAAAAATTACAGATATCGCTCCGCCCCAGATCTCTCCCGTAATGCGTTCTTGCTGGGACTTCGAAGCGAATCCTGCCGTGGCGACGAGGGCCTCCCAGGCGGCCCATGAAAGCGAAAACGAGGCAAGGGCAATGAGTGGCATCGGTACTGTCGGACCTAGGCCAGAATCACAGCCATCCCTCCGTCAGCAAAACTAACAAGAATTTCCAGGGTACCCTCCGCAGGACGCACAAGAGCATCCAATAGACACGAAGAACACCAAGGTATCCTCCCCGAACCGACCTCGATCTTACACCTCGGTCCGACTGTATCTCCCGTGAACGTTTTTTTATTCGGCGTTTCGTCATTGAGCAGAAGGGGGGGCGAGGGGGGGGCCTGGTTCTGGTCCTCTGCTTCATGCCACTGTCTGCATCAGTGCGGCCCATGGGGGAGACCCCGCCTGCTCGAAACTACTCCATGTGGGGGGATGGGGGGGAGGAGGGCCCGCGCAGAAATTCTCAACAAGGAACAAGAGAGCGATCCTCTGACGTATGCCGCTGTTCCTTCCCTGACTGCCGCAGGCTCGTCGGCCAGCGCTGCTGCACCCGCCGCCGCGAGCCTGCCGACGGCGCAGCGGCCGCTCGGCCGTGCAGCCCGGCCCCGCGCAGCCCGCCGCGGCGCTCCGAGGCGCCGCAGCACGCCCGCGAGGCCCGGCGCCGCCGCCGCCCCCAGCAGCGGGCCCCAGGGCCGAGTCCGCTGCGAGGGAGAGCGTTCGGCCGCCCAGACCCTCGCCATCGCTCGGACGTCCATTCCCTGTGTTTTTGTTTCGGTTTCGTGCGTGTTTTTTTTTCGCCCAGTGATCAAGGATGCTCCTCGATGGCCCTCGCCGAAGGAAAGATGCACACGTCCGAGCGATGCCAAGGACCCAGGGGGCAATTCCACACCGGGCTCGCTGGAAGGCTCGCTCGCTGCGTCAGCATCGGCCCCGGACGCAAAGGCAAAGCTGCACAAGGGCCCCGCCTGTGCGTGAACAGGATCAAGATGGGGTGAGCCGGGAACAAGCAGTGACACAAGCAGGAACTCTCGGAGGTCCCCGCGGCCCTCCGAAAGTTCATGCTTCTGTCACTGCTTGCTCCGATGAAGGCAGATCGGGCGTTGGCAGAACTGGGTCTCGTGGGACCTGGTTCAATGACGTGTACTGGGGGACGCCCCCCCCGCCCCGTTCCACGAACCGGAACTGCCGTCACCCGAACAAACACCAGCTACGGCAGACCTGTTGTTTAGTGATTCTGGCCAGTTAAGGGGCTCCGGGGCCCTATCGGCGGTGGACAAACCTCCCTTTAGTAAACCTCCCCTTAGTGAAAACGGCCTGGGACCGAAACCGACGGACCTGGAACCGCAAAAATGACAGCCGCGGCGCCCTCTCGCGAACCGAAAACGGCCAGTTCCTCAATCGACGTGTCAGGGTAGGAGGTATATCCACCTCTGACCCGACCACGAACTGGGTCCCCTTACCTGGGACCGGTTTTTCATCCCGAGCCGTTTTTTGACGGCCCCGAGGCCCGGCGAGGGCCCCGAGAGGCCAAAAACTATGAAAAACCTCTGTCGCGATTTTTTCGAGACGCCCGATGTCTGGGGATTCTGGCCAATTTAGGGGCTCCGGGGCCCTACCACTATTCGGGTCCCCTTGCCCGGGGTCCTGGCTGCACCCGAGGAGAGCTGCCCCAGCAGAGCACCATCATAGCAGCAGAGGTGAAGAGGCGGATCGAGGAGTAAGAGGTCGCGGCTGTGGGGGACAGGGGCGAGAGCACGGCCAGATTGAAGGGGCCCTGGGACACACACACACACACAAATAGACACACAAATAAAAATATTCCCCCATATTTTCCAACACTTTCGGGGTTTTCGTCTTCCCCCCACTTCCCATATGTTTGCATCTTTTCCTTGGAATCGACGATGGATTGTGTCTGTGTGTTTTTTCCCCTCCTGGCAGATGTGCACCGTAGCGCATCTGTTACAGGGGATCGTGGCCGTCGGAGCCTGGCGCCACCGCCGACCCCAGCATCGGGCTCCGTGGCCCCGCCGAGCATCTGCGCCGAGCGAGGGGGGGAAGTGAAAAGGAGCAGGCCTTCACAGAAGACACGAAACCCACCGCCCTTCTGAGAGGCTTCCTAAGCCTTCCCCGGAGACGCAGGAACCTCCTCAGAGGGCGCGATGGCTCCTGAGAAGTCCCGCCGCCTTCTGAGAAGGCCTTCTCCTTCTCAACTCCCCCCCTCGCTCGCCGCCGAGAGCAGGTGTCGGAGGATCGCGCCGCATCGACGATACATCGACGATGCATCGACGATGCATCGGCGATGCACCGGCGATGCACCGGCGATGCATCGCCGACGTCGGAGGTGCATCGGCGATGCCGGCGTGGAGAAAATCGAGCTCCGCACCGAGCCGCATCAGCGATGCATCGACGATGTGGCGCGATCCTCCGACCCCATCTGCTCCGACCCCATTTGGGAGGCCTGGACCCTCGCGGCGAGGGCGACGCCGACGCCGACGCCGACGCCGACGCCGACGACGACGCAGGATGAAGGGGCCCTGGGACGCACAGATAGATAGACACAAATAACAAGATTCCCAATATTTTCCCATATTTTCTGCGCTGTCGTCTTCCCCCCCACTTCCCATATTCTCACATATTTTCCTGGGAGTCGACGACTGATTGTGTCTGTGTGTCTTTTCCCCTCCGGATACGAGGCGTCGGGCCGAGCAGCTCTCCCCCTCCCGCCGCACGCGCCCGCGGGCGCGGCCACCCCCGCCGGCGCCGCGCCCGGGGCGGCGCAGCACCCCGCGAGGGCCATCGGCCCCCGTCGGCCGCGCCCCGCGGGGCTGCGGCGACCCCTCGGCGACTCGAGCGCCGACCTCGGCGAGCCTGGGCGCCCCCAGAAGGCAGGACGAGGCCAAGCCCACAGCAGAATCGGACCCCCAACTGGGCATCGCTCGGACGTCCACCCCCTGTGCTTTTTGTTGGTTTCGAGCGTGGTTTTTCTCGCCAAATGATCAAGGATGCTCCTCGATGGTCCTCGCCGAAGGAAAAATGCACACGTCCGAGCGATGCCGAGGCCGCAGAAGGCAGGACGAGGCCAAGACCGCGGCAGAATCGGACCCCCAAGGGCAGCACGAAGACAAAAACCGCGGGGCAAAATCGGACCGGCGACCAGGGCGACTCGAGCGCCGACCTCGGCGAGCCTGGGCGCCCCCAGAAGGCAGGACGAGGCCAAGACCGCGGCAGAATCGGACCGGGACCAAATCGGGGACCTAATTTGTTCCCCAGAGGCCCCGGAGAGCGCTTCGAATAGACCCCAAGAAGCATCCATGAGCATTCTGACCCACGTCAGCGTCGTCGTCGCCGCCGCCGCCATTGTCGTCATTCCCCTTCAGGGTCGGCGGCAATGGCCGTAGTCGAAATCCCTTGATAATCGACCCCCCCCTTAAACACCGGACCCCCCCCTTCAACGGCAACCTAATTTTCCGGACCCCCCTGTCAACGGGGGGCGTTCAAGTTCCAGACCACTCTCGTCTTCGGTTCCAGGAAACCGCCCTCATAAACTGGATCCCCCCGCTTCCAAAAAGGGCGCCTTCAAAAAAACCGGACCCAAGGGACGCTTCTCAAGGGATATGGCCTTCGCAATCGGACCAGGACCAGGTCGGGGACCTCAGGACCTCTGAGATCCGGTGGCCCTGGCGCTCCAGAGCGCCCTGGGGCGCTCTGAGAGCGTGCCGGAAGGCGCTGGAGCTGGGGAAACCCAAGGACTCGGCGGTTGGCCTCGGCGCACTCGGGCGCCCCAGTTGGCATCGGCGCGGGGGCTGCTGAGGGGATATGGGCTATGTCTGGCCTGATGGGTTATCGGATGGCATGATGGGTTATGTATTTTTGTTTGCTGATCCTCGACCGCCATCGGGTTTGGCCGATGGTCGGGTTTGGCCCGCGACCATCGGCCACGCGGCGGGGGCATGATGGGTTATGTCTGGCCTGCCCCAGCCCCAAAAGCGGGCTGCACAGGCCCCGAACGGCTTGGGGGGCCAACGATCCAGGCGCAGTGGGCCCCGCCCACACTGCGGAGTGATCTGACCCTCCTCCTCGTCCTCCTCCTCTTCCTCCTCCTCCTCCTCCTCCTCCTCCTCCTCCTCCTACTCCTCCAGATGGAGCCCATGTAGACGGGGTCCAAGGATCCTCTCTAAGCCGGTTGGGGCATCTCACTCGCCCCACGCGCTCCTCGCCGTGCGCCAGGCGGCGCACTGGCCGCTCGTGGTCCTTCGGCGTGCTCTGAAGTTGGAAGCGAAACCGCAAAACACCGCAGGGCAAAGGAAGTCCTGTCTCTTTCTCACAAGCAGAAAAGGAACGGAGAGGATGATGAGGAGGAGGAGGAGGAGGAGGAGGATCATGAAGGAGGAACAGGGAGAAGGAACAGAAGGTGGGCATCTGTAGCCGACGCATTAGCTAGGTTAGGCCAGGTTTAACCCACCTTGGCGTCCACTGATAATGCCCAATGTCCCCTTGGCATCCCGTGCGCCTCCTAGAAAGGTCGGACGAAGCAATGACCTGGTCAAAATCGGACCAGGACAAACTCGGAGACCTCTGAACTCGGGGACCTCGGCCAGCAGCTGTCCCACGGTAGGGAATCAATGATAGGTAAGGCCCCAAGAGGCTCTGCAAGGAGGAGCCTCCGCCAAAAAGAGCTGATCACTTCAGGCATGCAACATTTTCTGGCCATTCGCTGCGCGGAAAAAAAAACCGGCGCCGAGCACCAACGAATCTGGATCAACGTGTGCGGACCAAACTCCCTGCGCAGGCCGGCCCGAGGTCGTGCCACCCTCGAGGAGGGCAACGGGGAATGCCACGGACTCGCGAGACGAGCAAGTCTGGGGGGGGGGGGGCGGGCCAGGCGGGAGTCCAGGCGCTGTAACAATCCCACCAGCCTTCTGGGCGTGAGTGGCCCAGGGAGCTCGTTCTGCTAACCCCGCCCCTCCTTCGGGGAGGGGGGGTCCTCCTCCCCCAAACTTCTCCCCCTGGGCCTGGAGGGGGCACTCCTCCGCGAGGCCCTGGGGCTCCCAACATGGTCCAAGGGGGCCCCAGGGAGCTCAAGGTGGCGTCCAAGAGCGCTCGCGACAGCCCAGGATGGCCCAAGGCAGCTTCCAACATGCTTCCAAGAGCACCCTACACCGCCCCAGGACGACCGCCCCAGGACGACTCCAAGTGCTCGCCGCGCCTCCCATGGAGGTCCCTCGGAGGCCCAAGTCCGTCCCAAACATAAGAACACATCGTGCTGTTTGCCTTCTCGCCGTTTCGCTTCCACTGGGCTCCTGAGGCCTCGAGATGGCCGAAGAGAGCCAGAAGAGATGCTCAAGAGGGGCCCAAGACAGCCCCAGGAGTGCCCAAGACGGCCCCAAGAGGGCTTCAAGAGGCCTTCAAGATGACCCCACGACGGTCCCAGGAGGCATCCCAGACGCTCCCAGAGAATGCTAGCCGACGAATCTCGACTAGCAATGGGCTTCGCAATAAGTAGCCGTTTTGGGATAGGCTGGTGGGGATACGCGAAGCGTGACCATTATATTTATAGACTAGCGCCTCAATCGCGGACGCGGATACGGCACATTCACAAGCTGTGCGCTAACTTCTGCCGTGAGGTTGGTCGGCCACAGATGCATGCATGACTCAACGGCGGGTCGGTGCCGACCGGCATTGGCATGCGGATCGGGAGCAGAAGCGAAATCTTGGCTCGCACGCCTTCGCAGTACTTTTCGTACGCCACCTTGAGCTGGCCGTCCTTCTCATAGATCTGCTTGGCCTCAATCGAACATGCGCTGTATGACACACTGGGGGACACGGAACTGCTGGAACGAGACCATGTGGAGTAAAGGGAGATGCAGATCACTTTCTTGCATGCGGGGGAACAGTAGCTCTTTCTGCCGAATCTGTTCAGACACGCCCCCGCTCACAACATGGGCATGCAAAAGGTTGCGTCGTCGTGTTCCTACTAAGCTGTGGCTCTACCAATGTTACGTACACCATGTGAGCCACACCGCCTAGAACGACTAACACTACAGCCGGACCAAAGACATAACAACATCCTTCACGAACATGAAACCATTCGCCGGCGAAACCACCCCAAACCATAAGATCACTCGAGGGTGCCCTCCCCCAAGACGAAACATACCACACGGCAAGCACGAACATCACTAGGTTACTCTGCCCGAACCGACCTCGACCTTGTAACTGGGTCCGAGGGTACCTGACATATCATAGCATCAGCGCTGGGCAGCGCTGTACTCAAACTGCACCTGATGCAGACGTGTGCGTTTGGTGCTGCCACCGGTCAGTCGAGCACGAAGTGATAAAATCATAGTGCATCGTGTGCTCACTACGATTCTTTCATGGACCACCGCATGTCGAGTTCATGATGATGATCGAGTTCATGATGATGATGCTGCTGATGATGATGATGGTGATGATGATGGTGATTATGATAATGATGATGATGAACATGATGATGATGCTGCTGATGATAATGATTCTGATGATGATGGGGTCCAGGGGGCTCTGGTCGAATTTTTGCCCGATGCTACAACTTGTTTTTGTACGATGCCAGTCGTGTCCAAAGGGGGCCCTCTAGCTCCGCCTGCCGCGCCGAATTGACCTCCTCGTGGTATCGGCACGTGGGGCCTGCTGCTTGCGCGTGGTGAGCACGAGCGAACGGGAAGTCGAACCTGCTTCAAAAAACATCGACTTCCCAACGCACGCAGTTCATCTCAGGCATGAAGGTGAGGTCAACCATGGAACGGCCATGGGAGGCGACGTCCACGCCCCTGCTGTTCAGACCTCCCGAACCCACGGAAACACTCGCGACCTGTCCCGTCGGTCTTGTTCCCCAGCGAGGGCTCAGCGAGGGGGTCGCCTCCGCTAGCACTGCATCCCGACTGACACTGTGCACTCGCGGCTGCACGCTGATAGCTTCACTCAGTTGATCCTGCACTCGGGTCCTGCTGTGAGACCTTGGACGCCGAAACGAGTACGGACAAAAATGGGCACGATGCCCAACAGCAGATGTTGTCCGAAACCGATCGCGGCCGCTGTTGGGTGGGCGGCTTTGTCTTCAGTGGGCAACGCCCGCGGCGGCGCGGACAGCGAATCCTGCTCAGAATAAACAAGAACTGACGTTGGTCTTTGTACCTTTTTTTACGAGTCCACTTCGATCGACCCGAGAGAAGAATCTAGGGCCCCACGAGGGACCAGGAATAAAACGGAGGCGGAGTCGTCGTCGTCGTCGTCTTCGTCGTCGTCGTCGTCGTCGCCCACCGAGAATCACTCGCGGCGCCGCGCGGGCGCGACTCCCCCGAGCAAGAAGGGCCTTCCGGACAGTCTCCTCGCCGCGGGAGATCTTGGCCTGCGTGGCGCTGTCGATGGCGCTCTTGCGCTGGAGAGGGGCCGTTCGGGCGAGGCTGGAGGCGCGCCGCCAACCCTTCCGGCGGGCTCGCAGTGGGAATCAGAAGCTCTCTAGCCTCGCAGAAGATCTGGAGGCCTTCCACGGGTGAGGGCTGGGAAGGGTCACTGCGGGCGCTTCGCCTCGCCCTCGCTCTCTGGCGAAGACCGTCGTCAAAACGGCACCAGATCCTCTTCGCGTCGCGGCCTCCTGGGATCAAACCCTGCCATGAAGAACCTGAACACCACATGAGCGACGATCAAAAACGGGTCTTACGCGAAGTGACGTGGCGACCTGACGCGGCGGCTTCCGAGAGCCGCCGGCGTGCCACGCTGCATTTGAGACGGGGGCACTTACGCGCGACTCTACGCGGTCAACTGACGCGCCAATGCCGGCGCAACCGGCCCCGTATCTTCTTGCGTCGCTCACATGTCGGGGGTTGCTAAAGGTGCCCCTGGCCCGAGGTGCCCCCAGCTTTTCGCTCAATTCTGGAGCCCCTGGGGCCCTCTGGACCTCGTGGGTGGTGCTCTGGAGGTCGTGGGGGCCTCCATGGCAATCCTGGGGGCACCTTGGGCCAGGGGCACTTCTAGCAACACCCGAACATGGCACCATGCGTGCAACTGGTCCGCGACCGGTCAGCCACTGACCAACCCCGCGTGGTGCCACACGGGCAGAGCAGCTCGTGGACACGCGACAAGGACCTGCACGGCACCACGCGGCACCGCGCGCGGCACAGCTCCGCGAAGGCCCGCAAAACAGCACCCCTTGGCACCAAAACGGGCACAAGCACAACGCGGCACACGGGCGACGGATCGGTGCGTTGGGAACGCGGCGCCGCGCGACCAGGCACAGGAAGGCACCAAACACGTGGTGTCGCACGGCACCGCGCGGCAGCGCGGCATGCGCATGGCACCGCGCGGGCATCGCGGCCCAGACCTGGAGGCACTGCACACGGCATCACGAGGAAGGGGAACGGACCCAAAGGACGTCGTATTCTTCACGAGGGCCACAGAAGCGTACTCAGGCGCCCTGGCCACCACCGATACTGCACTCTCGGATGGCCGCTGGTTCCTAAAAACTGAACGATCCCATTCAGGTCATGCTGGTGCTGCACGCCGTGCGGATCCCCAGAATCTGTTGAAGCATGCTTGCTTGAAATCCGCCGCCCAAAAACTCAGAACTGTGATGACGGTCGCACGAAATGTCGGTTTCCGAGGGGCCCCGACATGCGGTTTCGCGGAATTCCCGGGCGTTCCCCCGATTCCCCGCGTGACGTTTGCCGACGCCAGAGGCCCCCTAAGACAGGCCGAGAGGGCCACACACAACGGCATCGTGACGGTCCCAGAGAGCCCCGAGACGGCCCAATAACGCTCCGAGATGGCCCAAGATGGTCTCAAGACGGTCCCAGGGCTCCCCAAGACGCCCTGAGAGAACTCCGAGGGAACCCCCAAGAGTGCACCACGAGATAAGAAGTCATTGATACTCTCCGTGGTTTGGGAGATTGTAGCGTTCTCGCCTTTTTGGGCTTCCAACGCTCCAAGACGGCCCGAGCTACCCCCAAGAGGCCCCAAAGAGCGCCCCAAGACAGCATAAGAGGCTCCCAAGACAACCGAATAGTGCTCAAAGAGGGGGGACACGAACCTATGTTTCGAGCCCTCTGCCCCAAGATAGCCCCCGAGACCACCAGAACGCCCCCAAGAAGCCCCACTGGCCCCTAACAGGCCCCCAATAGGCTCCCGAAAGGCAATGTGAGGCATCTCCAGAGATCCTGATGTGCATGAAAGCGGCCCCTGGTTCACGACCCAAGCATGGTAGCAGGATGGACTGAAGGCCACTGGATCTGGCCCGGCACAGAAACGGAAAGAGCGCTTCAGAAACAGAAACCGAAATTACTCACACCACCGTTCGTACTGGGAGCCTTGGCGTTGAGAGCTTGTTACGTCACCCCTCGCTCTTGGGAGCCTTGGTGTTCAGAGATTGCTGCGTTGCCGCCCGTTCCTGAGCCTTGGCTGGGCCTTGATGTCAGGAACTTGTTACGTCACCGCTCTCTCCTGGGAGCCTTGGCCTTATCAGCTTGTTTACGTCACCGTCCGCTCTTGGGAGCCTTGGTGTGAAGAGACTTGTGCGTTACCGATCGCTCTTTATTTGGCGTCTCTGGGCCTTCTTGGGAGTCCTAGTGGGGCCCTTTTAGAACCCTTTCGGAGGCCTCTTGGGGACCTCTTGGGGGCCTCTTGGGGCTTCTTGGGGGGCTCTTGGGGCCTCCTGGGAGCTTCTTGGGGCGAACAGCTAAACTTTTCGGTTCGCGGTCCCCCCTCTTGGGGCCGTCCTGGGGCCCTCTTGGGCCGTTGTGGGGGCCTCTTGGGAGCCTGTTGGGCCGTCTTGGGGCGGTTTGGGGGGCCTCTTGGGCCGTCGTCAACGCAGTGAAAGCCGAAAAACCGTATATGCTAAACATGCACGCTTTCGTACGGAAAATCAATGATTTTGGCATCCTGGTGGCCTCTTGGGACGCCTCTTGGGGGCCTCTTGGAGCTTCTTGGGAGGCTCTTGGGGCCTCCTGGGGGAAGTCTTGGGGCGGAAGGCTAGACTTTTCGGTTCGTGGCCCCCCTCTTGGGGCCGTCTTGGGGCCCTCTTTGGCCGTCTTTGGCGCCTCTTGGGCCTTCTTGGGACCCTCTTGGGCCGTTTTGGGGGCCTCTTGGGAGCCTCTTGGGTCGCCTTGGGGCGGTCTTGGGGGCATCTTGGGCCGTCGTCAACGCCGAGAAAGCCGAAAAGCCGTATATGCAAAAAATGCACGTTTTCGTACGGAAAATCAATGATGTTGGCCTCTTGGGGCCCTCTTGGGATGCCTCTTGGGCGCCTCTTGGGGCGTCCGGGAGGCCTCTTGGGACGTCTTGGGGCTGTCTTGGGCGGTCTTCGGCTCTTCTGGGACGGACAAGGGGTGAACCCGAACACCATACAAAACCCATGGGAAAACCAGAAAACGGCCATTAACACTCATTCCCCCGCCCTCCCCGCCTCCACTGGAACGCCCTCCCTTTAGGGCTTAGCCCACACCAAAACGTCATCACTCGTACATCGCTCTTTCCGTGACCTGGCCCGGCACAGAAACGGAAAGAGCGCTTCAGAAACAGAAACCGAAATTACCCACACCACCGTTCGTACTGGGAAGCCTTGGCGTTGAGAGCTTGTTACGTCACCCCTCGCTCTTGGGAGCCTTGGTGTTCAGAGATTGCTGCGTTGCCGCCCGTTCCTGAGCCTTGGCTGGGCCTTGGTGTCAGGAACTTGTTACGTCACCGCTCTCTCCTAGGAGCCTTGGTCTTATCAGCTTGTTTACGTCACCGTTCGCCTTTGGGAGCCTTGGTGTGACGAGCTTTTTGCATTACCGATCGCTCTTTATTTGGCGTCTCTGGGCCTTCTTGGGAGTCCTATTGGGGCCCTTTACGAACCTTTGTGGAGGCCTCTTGGGGACCTCTTAGGGGCCTCTTGGGGCTTCTTGGGGGGCTTTTGGGGCCTCCCCGGAGAGGGGCGAAAGGCTCGACTTTTCGGTTCGTAGTCCCCCTCTTGCGGCCGTCTTGGGGCCCTCTTTGGCAGTCTTGGGCGCCGTCTGTGGGCCCTCTTGGGCCGTTTTGGGTGCCTCTTGGGAGCCTCTTGGGCTGTCTTAGGGCGGTCTTTGGGGCCTCTTGGACCGTCTTCATCGCCGTGAAAGCCGAAAAGCCGTGTATGCTAACAATGTACCCTTTCCCATGGGAAATCAATGATTTTGGCCTCCTGGTGGCCTCTTGGGGCGCCTCTTGGGGGCCTCTTGGGGCTTCTTGGGGAGCTCTTGG